TGTTTCCACCTTGTTCTCTCCCAGGTCATCTCTGGCTGTTCCGGGACGCGGGGACAAACGATGGACTCCTTGTCAACCAGCAGGAGCTGTTTGTAGCGGCTCCCAATGTGAATAAAGCAGACATCACGCTGCCAGGTAAACGGAGTGGGACTGCCTCTGTGGTGGAAACAGACGAATTTTGTACTTGATCTCTTTGGACTTCAGTGTAAGGATCGAGGGAGAAATCAAGTACACAAATAATAAAATCTGCCTCAGAAATAGGAAAGAATTCTATTGTAGGGTTTCTAGCTAGAGCTGTCATTGTGCTGTATTGAGTAGAGCTGTTGACGCACCTCTCATTTTAAAGATGTCTCTGATGGGTTTTGTAGGGTGCCTCACAACAGGAAACAACAAATTCTTTTCCTCTCTCTAGTGAATTTAGTGCGTTGTGAAAAAAAGCTGCTAATGTTATGTTCTGTATTCATGTATTTGGAGAAGTGCTGTCTGTGTTGGAGGCAGTGGCTAACGAGAGCCCTTGTGATGAGGTTGTGTGTGTGTTTGTTTTTCACCTTAGTGTTCACCCTGAAAGAGAGGTGTCTCCAGGTTGTTCGCAGTCTGGTCAAACCGATGGATTACAGGAAACTGGACATTGTTCGATCGTTATATGAAGAGCTGGAAGATCATCCTGATATTAGGAAGGATCTTCAGCGACTTTCTCTGGAGAGAAGTGAAACATTGAAGAACGGAATTCTGGAATAACATGATTACTCACTCCAGACTCTTTAAATAGCAAACTACTGAATTTAAGCAGGAAGAGTTGCTGCGAAACATGTCAAGAACTAATGTCTGCATTTTAGGTTCTGAAATACAAACTCAGTTAAATTGAAGAAAACTTGCTATGATGCTATGTCAGATCCAAGAGACTAAAGAGCACGTAGAAACATGCCAGGTTCCTGATGGTTCCGTTCTGTTCTTCGTTATGTGTATTGCAAACCAATGACTCTAGAGGCCTCGTGCAGGTGAAGCTCAAAGAAGTTTTATTTGGACATAGATCAGGTCACCTGTTTGGAGAATATGCGTACAGATCAACTTTCTTTGTAATAGAAAGTAAATTACACCAGGGATTAATGTAGGCCAGACTCTAATGATTGTAAGTGGCACAACACCATTTTTGCTTGAATAATTTGTTTTCAATGGAATTTCACCCTCTCACGCTTAGCTCAGATTTGCCTGTGAATCACAGAGCGTGGGGGGTGTTTGTGTACGCAAGGGTTTCCACCACCACCTCCTGAGGGCCTGACCTGAAACGTTATGTTGGTGGAAAGGTGGCATGTGTAAATGCTTGGGGGCTTTTCTGCCTCTGACCTTTGCATTTATAAACCCATGTCATGCCCGCTCTGGGGCCAACGGATTTTTACACAGATCATACCTTGAATGCCTTATTTGCCCTTCATGATGGATTCTTGCCTAGTTGATCTCAAGGTGATCCAACCTAGTCAGCCGTATAGCCTGGATCCTAGTTTTGGGACACCTTTCTCCTCTGCAGCTGCTTCCCCAGCTTCCTGTACAGGTGTATGGGGTAAGCGTTCAGAGAAGGTAGATGCTTTGAGTCCAACCTTTCCCATCGCAGCGCAGCAGTTGGGGTTGTAGTGGGAGGCCTTTCCGGGGAGCATGGACCACTCAAGCTGTTTGTGTCCTAGGGAGCAGACAGCGGGCTGTATCAGCTCCTCCGGGCCTATTGCTAGATCCAGCTCACAGAGCCACGCTGTATTACAGGCTAGATAAGCAGAGAAAACATTTCTTTTCCTATATGGTGCTCCTCCCATACCTCAATTAGAATGCATATTTGTGTGAATGTACACCCGTAAATCAAAGGAGCGCTGCTTTTAGCAGATCTGTGAATTGTCCACCAAGTAACAGACGTAGTGCTGTTCAGTGTTAGAAGCAGGTTGATAGGAGATTATAGCAGGTTATTTCTGTGGCATACTTTTCTTTCCAGCTATACATTCTTAAGAAACACAGCTGTGAAACTGAGAATATCAAAAGTATTCTGTAAGTATGAAACGTCTCCCCTTGTTGTATACTTGTTTTTCTTACATATTTGAAGTGTATGAATTGATCTTTGTCATAAAAATGTAAATCCATGCTAACATTTTTACTGTAATTCAGTCAAATAACTTCAGGACCATATGCTTATATTCCTGCAGTACCCCTGAAAGTCGTCCTAGTTGAAACTGTTCAGCCCCCTGTTGCTGCAGGACTGTGTGGTAGCTAACACTAAACTGTTACCACAACTTCAGGCAGCGTCTGTGCATAAATGTAGCTACGTTACAATTCCTGCTCTTACCACCATTTGCAGATCTCTTTGAGGAACGTGAGCCTGCGCAGGCCTCGGCAGCAGACGTCAGTGAGTCGCCCAGCTCATCGGGAGCCCTTAGCTTAGAGGGTGCTGCGCTGTCCTCCTGCAGGTGCAGCCCTGCGGCTACCTGAGTGGGGTGTTCCTCCTGATGTCCTTGCGATGCTGTGGTTACAATCGATGTGGCAGCATTGCCAGCCAGCTGCAGAAAACTGGCTGCTTGACTTTGCAGTTTTTGTTTTAATGTAGTAGGTATTAGGTCTTAGGTTCAACAGATCTGTACGTATCATAAACATTCTGTATGTTTCTGATCTGTGTGGGGTCTGGGATCTCTTGTGTTGCTTGTTAGAACAATTTACATTTACTGGACTTCTTCCAGTATACAGCCAGCCGGTGGCACTTTTCTAGTACAACGCTTATCACTGCTAAGGGATCAGGTTCCTTGGATTCCGGAACGTTGGAGGACAGCAAAGCATACTTACGTATCTGTGACATGCCGAAGACAAACACAAAAACTACTACCCCATGATCTCATTGCTCATAGAAGAATCCTGTCTTTGCTTAACTTTTAGTTGCATATACTGAATTCCAAGGCAGCTTAAGTCCTTAGCTAACGAGAGCTCCTGATAGGCAACAAATAATTGTGGATGCTTTGTGTTCGTTTGCTGTGGTTTGGCCCTTTTTCTAAGGGACACTTCCTGTCCACTCTGTGGAAGATTGACTTAAGGGCAGTTTGTTACCATGTAGAAATGAACCAGAGATCTGTCAGTCCATAGACAGCCTGACTGATGAGGGTACATCCAAAGCAGAGAGCGTTGGGTTGTTACTCAATGACTGTTTGATTTAAATTGCAGAAAAATGCAGAAACAATTGTCAGGGTCGAGACAATTGTTCAGGTATGTGCTGTAGTCAGCAGTTATGTGTCTACACAGTCGCTCTACCACATTTCCCTCACCAATTTGTGTTTTGAATGTGAAACATTTGATACTTTGGAAGACTTGAGTGCATTTACCCACAGAATCCCAAGTAGAAGGTGCCATTTCCCTGAATCCGTGAGGTATGTGAGTCCTAGGACAGGAATTTGACAAACCCTGCTTCAGTTCTTTAGCTTCAGCATTTCATTTAAGCGCAGATGCTGCCCTTGCACAGCAGGCAAGCCGCGCTCAGTCCCCTCTGGAGGTGGCAAATGCCTCTTCCACAGAACAGAGGCCAGACAGGGACTTTTGGATTCCACACCGGGCAGCTGTCCCTAAGTAAGGCACTGTAGCATCTGATTTTTAGTACCAAAGGACATTGCTTGGATATGGCTTCACAATGTTATACTGTTGTTTCATTCTGCCAACAATAGCTGACTACTCCTTGCACAGCCACTAAGAGTAGGAAGTACTTTAAGCAAGAGGCAATCGTCATTTAAAAAATAATGTATAGCAAGAGGCAATCCAGACTTGAAATTTTATACTTTCCCTATACAAGATAACAAAGGAAATTCTGCTTCCATTTTGCAGATGACATAGAGTTTTCCAGAGTTACACAAGAACTCTGGGAGAGTAAGGGACTGAACAAAGACAAAGCCCGATGCAGAACCCTGCTCACACAGCTGCCTCCCCTATTCCTCCCACAGCTCTTTTCATGCAATGTGGACACATTTTCTTGTGATAGGAATTCTGTAACTACTTTAGCTAATTGTAGCTCTAATGTGCCATCTAAGTGTTAATTTTCCTGTTGACAAATCATGAAGTACCTTTTTTTTTTTTTTTCCATACATCAGTTTTAAAAACTTAGCAACTTCCTCTCTAAGATGAGAAGCACTTAAAAACATGTCTCTCAAATATCTGACCAGGTTTTATTTTGACAGACCACCGAGTCACACCTGATGTTACACTTGATCTCTTGCCACAGTCTGTACTGTTAAAGGTCTGGGGTTTTTAACCAGCATGGCAGTGACTGTGAGCATGTTAAATACCACCTTCCTGTAGCTGGGCTAGTCATGAGGCTCAAATTATGAAATGCTCTCAAGACCCTACCATGGACTAAGTTCAGTAACAATATCAGTCCAGCTGTGTATCTTCCTTTTTTTACTTAGTGGCATTCTAGCATAAAACCAAATTGATTACATATTATTTGTCATTGGAATGCAATAGGTCACAATATTTCTCATATCATTTGAGTTTCATTCTTCAGCATTCAAAGTGGAAGGCACTGACAGATGCAAGGAACTAACTGACGAAAAAGCCTCATCAATTAGTTAAAGCAGGTGCATAAACGTTATCCTAGAAAATTTTGGTCAGTAAAGAACTCCTATTGATAAAATATGTTTAAAAAATAAACCCACATGTTATAGATTGGTAAACTTCTGGAGGAATGATCAACATATGCCAGAAAGTCTCTTTCTTCTGTTCTGGAGCGCTCCTTTGGGTCAGAACAACAAAAGACTAGAGGAAACTCCAGCTGGCTCTAAGGCATGAACATTGGAAAATGGAGCCTCCCACTGGTTACTCAGCTGGATCAGTAACGAGTGAAAGTTGCCATGTACTTGTGACAGCTACATTAAAAATTTGGGTAGTTTTCAGTGGGAGTCATGGTGCCGTCTCGCTGGCAGTCCCCGAGCAGAGGCAGCTGAGCCAGAGGTCAGGACAGGACGGAGAGCTCCCGCTCGACACGGGTCAGCGCGGTGTGGTGGGAACGCGCTGCTGCAGGAAGTGGTGTGTCACGGCCAAAGGTGAAAAACACCAGGGAAATAACAGATGGTTCTGAGGTTCGTTTAGTGTCCAAGGGCTCAAGGAGAGCGCACAGCAGTGCAAAGCCCTGCCTGATACTTCGTCATTTGAAAGCGAAGGCTAAGCAACAGGCAGGTATAGGATCATCCTAGTCTCCATTTGAAAAGGTACACGTCAGTTCCCTTGTAAAACCTTTTATTACAATGGTTGGTGCGAAACTGAAGCCATACGCAGAGCTAGATGCTAGCTAGAAATGAGCATTCTTTCCCCTTGTTTTCCCGTGAGGCAAATAGTCCAGACAGTTTCACAGGTTTTTTCCAGTACCCAAGGGAAAGAAGTTTCCTTTTCTTCCTGATTTTATACAGTTCTTTGCAACACAAATGTCGGTCTCGTCTTATGTGACTTTCAGAGATGCTCTGATCATCTTCCCATGACAGAATTTAGATATGTGTCAGAGGGATAGTAAGCAGGGAAAAGGGAGGGAAAACCCCATAAATTTAACTGCTACTGTTGAAATAATGGTACTACTGCTAAAACAGCTAGGTCCCGAGGCAGTCTTTGAATTGTGATAGATTTAAGTAATAATACCCACTGGATATTTTTGTTTAGGATTTTTTCTGTCTTTTGACCTTGTAGCTACATTAATATCACAGGTAAGAAATTCACTGTTACTTTAATGGTGTGTG